GAAGGCAAAGAGGACAACACGAGCACTCGTGTTGTCCTCTTTGCCTTCCGTGCCTCGCCTTTCGTCTGTTTCTTCTAGCACCTTCGTGCTCGCGCTGCAGCCCTTATTACCATGAATTCAAACCAACTAGCCCAAATCGCCATTCTTCTTCACACCGAAGAAGTTTTCTGTATTGATATAGGAAAAAGCTTAATGAGGAAGGTAATCGAAGCCTTCGAAGCAGCTGGGGCATGTTGGAATGTTGTCAGTGGCATTATCAAAAAAGGAACCGACGTAGCTCACACGTAGCACTTTCGCCTCTGTAGCCTGAAAGTTTCGTTTTTTGGCACAGTTGTCGATGTGCTTGTAAATGCGGCCGATCTGCAATAAGGTTTCGTTAAAAGTTAACGCACGACCCATCATCGCCCTGTCCTGTGTTCGTTTCTGCTCTATCGGTTCTGCTTCACAAGATAAAGGCTTTACGGACGCAGTTACAGTAAGCGCTTGTAAGCATAAAGATGCCGAAAATAAAGTTATATTGTCACGGTACAGCGTGAACCAAAGGCAGATAAACGTTGACACAGGGACTCTCAGCAGCCAAACAGCAAGATCGCCTTCTTTATCTTCAATCAGCCAGAGCTCCACTACCTGGTGTCCGCCAAATCCCCTTATCGTCGTTTTGGTCCACCAGTACACACGCGTCAATATTGAGGTCAGCGAAGAAGCTTATGCATAGTCAGGGGAGCAGCTAGGACCGTAAGAGACTGAAACCACGCCAAGGCCCTTCATTGTGTCGTCGGGCCATTCGCAACTGTGCATCTCGGTGCAAGCACCGATATAAAGGTTGCGCGGAAACCCTTAATGAAATTTGTTTCTCCGCAGAAAAGAAATAAAAAGTGCAACAGTAACTAGCGAAGGCTCGGCTCTCTATAGCTGGGCGGGGAGGCCGCGCCATTTGCATCGATTAGCGAGGGACGCAGCGGCAATATGGTCTCTCCGGTTCGTGCTTATGGTTCTGCCTCGCCCGTATCGCGCGGGATGTCTTTGTGGTGGCGTCGCCGTATCGGCCTTTTGTTGGAATAAGCGTCCGCGCGGCGATCCAGCTCTTGCCTTTGTCTTTGCCCACGCAGGCTGCTGCACGAAGAGCGAGCTCTGGGCCGCGACCCGGCTCACGACGAGGGGCGTTATGCGCCCGCGTCACGAAAAACACTGACGCATCGCGATTTTTCGGGCATTCCCGCCGGACAACTATGAGGTGCACGGTTCCCAGTTTAAACGCCGAACGCAGCGCAAGACGGTCTACGAGGCCAGTTCGGTGGGCATATAAAGATGGGCCTATTTCCAGGGATGAAGCTCCTCTTAGACTAACCTTGTCCTGAGTCAGGCGTAACCGACAGCATCTCCCGAAGCTAGTACCTCCAGAAGCTAGCAATTGACAGCGCGAGGGCGAATTCATCCACAACACGAAGCACGTGGACACAAACTTCTCGGTTAGCTCATTTGGTAGAGCGACCATCCCGGAAAGACGTTGGTCCCGGCTCCGAACCCACAACCAGGACGATTTTTTTCGGCAACAAAGAGGGTTTTCTTTCTGAGAAATCCGTACGGGTTCGCTTGATGGCTTCGTGCTACAAAGGGGTGGTTGTATTCTTTCCATTTCGTAGAGTAGTCTTGCAGTGCACCCTGAATCGTAGGCATTTCAAGCTTTCTGCACCAAACCTTCCTACGTCATCGACTCATCTTTTGATCAAACTACAGCGTCACGGGTTGACGTCGTGGCGTCACGTCCCTCTATGTGGAATCATAGTGTCGACCAGGTGACATAAAAAAATTTCGGTGATCTGTGACATGACCACATGATGATTTTTCTCATCACTTTCCATTCGAGTTTGATGAGGCATGCAATGTCTTCGCCCTAATACGTAACAGAGACGCACTCAGAAGACAGTACTAGCGTCAACGTCTTCTTTTTCTTCCGCTGGTCACACCACAGATCCACGCTTCTCACGGGAGAGTGGGTGTTGGAAGGGGACTAGCGATGCGCCAACATGATCGTTGAGGGAATGGGGGCCAACCTCGATCGTTTATAGAAAAAAAAGGAAATAAAGAAGTCTAGCGCACACGCTAACGAACAAACGTGGAATTCAGAAAAGCAGGCGAAACAAGCGAGTAAAAAACTGAACAAGTAAAAAAAATTATCACAGCGCAATGAATGTATGAGTTTTTTTATTTCCGGGACATCATCAGTGTTTATAAATACGGTTACCCCGAGCGAAATCCAGCTAGGCAGTGCTCCCAAGGTCGATAACTAGAGTGGAATCGCTCACTAGGAAGTTACATATAATCATAAATCCACTAGGGCGGATTTACGATTTCATGTACAGATGCCGCAAAAAAAGAAATAAATTTCAGAGACGCAGCGTGGCAGATGACACACGTGACTTCTCAAAGTAAAATATAAACGGTGCAACGCAAGCCGACTGACGAAGAAATGCGGAAATGTTTGCAGGAATACGTAAACAACCAGTTGCTCGGTAACACATTCATAAATTTAAATTCTTTTCACCTTGAATGTGCACGTACGTAAACCGTATGGGAAATATTATATGTGTATCGCACAAACTAACTCATTGTGACAGGCCTACAGCTTGTTCTAGGAGCAGCAGACGACATATATGTGCAGACTACAAAATATGTAGTGCATCGCCGATGCGCACGATGTAAAAAGCAAGCCGGAGACGCGAGGAAGTGCGAAGAGACGGGCGGTAAGTAAAACAAATATGTAAGGAGCGAACTTTAAGATCAGGACTACCAAGGCACCGCTGAGCGAAATTGAGAAACGGTACACTTTCGCAAATTCCCGTAAGACGTTCTTATACCGGTCCAGTCGTTCATCCGATGTCTGTGTAAATAATGCCGGCGATCACCAGAAAAGCAATTTGACACTAGAACGTTCATAAATACAGATTTCACGCAAAAAAAACAAAAAAAAACACGAGGCGTTGAAGAACTCCCTGCCATAAGACGACGAGCAGTGGCAGTCGAACCAAAATAATAAACAGCGGATGATGAAAGAAAAAAAAAAGAGATATATAATAAACTTCCACGCGATAGAAGCAGACGTTAACAAAACAAAAAAAGAGCAGACGACACGCGCGGCGACGCGACTGTAGCGCCACCCCTCACCACCACCACCGCATTGTGCGAAAGCAAATAGCCTGTGTAAAACGCGTTCCGAAAACCGCCGACATAAATCGCCCCGCGTTGGCTTGTTCGGTACAGGCGAACATGAAGAAAGGCACGCTTGAAAGCGCGCCCACCTCCTTACTTATTTATTATTTTTTTTTTCAAGCTTTCCGCTCGTCAACGAACACCCTTTCTCGCCTGTTGCTTATCTGAACGATGCAGGCGTCGCTACGGCGAGAATGGGCTTTCAGTCGCGTCGTTCCCTAAAGAAATCCCATTTTGCCCGAGAGTTTTCTAAGATGACGTCACGTCTCGCAGCTTGGTAAGAGGTTGGGGTGCTTCATACCACGGCGAATGAATGTTATGTCAGCGTACGGAACGTCTGAAGGCGTAAAATGCATCGGAGGGGCTTTTTAAGCGGTATACGCGGCGCTGTTGTGGATGGACACCAGAGTAACCATAGGTGGCTACTTTGCGCAAAATTGGCTACCCTCCGTCTCTGTTTGGCGCCGAAAATTTCAGGTTGGTGCCATGGCTGCTTCCTTGACAATTTGTACTTCTATTTTGGCCGCGTACTGGTTATTTTTTCGTAATACTTCAGTATAAAAGATTAAGCGAGTATAAGTTAATAATTATAATTTGCAAAACTTATATGTTGATGGCTTATGTGCACAATTAGTTTTGGATTATTTAAATCACATTATTAACTGTTCGATACTAATAACTCTACGCATAAAATCTTTTTTTCTATTGGGCGCTAAAATGAATTAGCGTGGCTTCCTTGGTTACATTTATTTTGAGTTTAGGCTCTTTTTCAAATCCGCCCAAACACAACCCTGGTGAACTCACTAATGTGTTATGCGATCACTAAAAATAATGCAATGTAGACTACTTGCCGAGTGGAGCGAGAGGTGTGGCCAGCTCTGAAAGGCTCTGCGTTCTGATTATTTTTCCGATAAGGCGAATGCCCGCGCATGCTTTTAGCTTTAGGAGGTTGGAAACGAGACGACGAGGAGATTCTGCGAAAAATTCGGCTGACGCAATGACACAAAGAAGAGGTGTTTTGCTTATTGTTCTTCTCATACAGATTCTACAATATGAGCAAGCAGAATTTGCCAAAAGCAAGTATTTTTCCGCATTTAAAAGAAGGGTTGAGGTTAGTGGACCTCAGTTAGCTTTGTTTATTTATTTACTTCCGGCGAGAGTAGGTAAACAAGTTGTGTTGAGTTACTTCCACTCAACGTGAATTGTCGCCATTACGACTTGTTAGTGAGCTTGTCTTTTCATCGCATTTCACTTTTCCGTGAGGTTAAAATTTCGGTTGGTTGACAACAACCAAATGACAGGTAATGATAATGAACACGTAATGAAGCTTAGGAAGAAGTAGAGGAGATTAATTTTACGTTTTAACTGAAGTATGATAATTATGTCGTAAATGAAACGGAATCGAAGATGAAAAACTAACCTCTCGCGGGCAGGGACCGAACCAACAACCTTCGGACAAAGCGTCCGATGCCCCAACGGTTCGGCTACAACGGTGGTCATTCTGCCATCCGCTTTTGTGGGTGTGTAATCCTTGGAGTGTTAGCCAGCGCCGCTCGCAGTCACGACGGCCAGTGTGTAGCACTCCTTTGTTGCAAGCTGGCGTCGCGCAATGCCTGATGGCAACAAAGTAGCCGTTCCTCGCTCTTTTTTTTAAACAGTCATTCTCGCACGGAAGAGCCTGTACACACCGCTGTATGCAATCGCATCACCATGATCCTTACCCCCCCCCCCCCAAAAAAAAAATAAGAGAAAGAAAAAATATTGTACACGCCATCGCATCACACACTCACCGAGTCCGGCGGGTCCGTAGACGAAGAGACAGGCGTCAGTTCCGTTCACCACCGCCTGAACCAGTTCAGTCAGGGCACTGGAGCACACCTCCGCCTGCGAAACCAGTCGAGTGCGCATAAAACGAGGGGCACCCATTTTGATTGTTTGTAGTTCTAAAATTGTAAAGAAGGTGCGTTGCAACCTTAACTAGAGAGGAACCGAGTCTCTGCCACTGACTAGCAAGGTCAGCAACGAACCAACTAGCCCAAACCAAGGTACTGCCCGTAATACTTGTAGCTGTGAGTTGTTACACATCCTGCCAGATGTGTAACAACTAAGACACGGGCACAGCGGAAAAACCGGACGAGCGCAGGCTAATAACAACTTATCTAAACGAAATAAGAACTTCTTTTTCGACGATTTGGGGCGCTCATTGCTGATGTATACGCTGTCTATTTTTATGGGAACACGGGAGCGCCTGGCCGACGCACTCCGGCGGCTGCTCACAGCGCGTTCAAGTGGGAGTGAGAGCAACCATAGCATCTTTCGCGTCATCTCCCGGCAAGCAAAACAACCATTCATTTCTGATTTGGAACCAGCGGCAAGATTGCAACACGCTTCCCCATCAAAGCGATTACCGACCTCTTGCGTAATCGGATTCAACCGAAAGGGGGTGGCAATCTTGCCGCTGGTTCCATATCAGAAATGAATGGTTCTTTCGCTCGCCGGGAGATGACGCGAAAAGATGCTGTGGTTGCTCTCACTCCACTTGAACGCGCTGCCAGCAGCCGCCGGAGCGCGCTTGCCACGCACTCCCGCGTTCCCTTTCGTCGAAATCGACCCTGTACTCTTGACCGTCGCGCAAAATATATTTAGTAAAAAAGCAGAGGAGCAGAAGAGGAGAAAGTGAAGCGCCGAACTACCAGCTGTTGAATGACATTCTGAGAAGCGTACAGAAAAAAAAAAACCTCGTTCTCGCGCATTCGTGAACAGCCAACACGTCACATGTAGTGACATGGTCAAGACAAGATATTACTGAGAAAGCGCATTTCCGTTGAGCAGAAAGCTTGCAGAAGTGTCCCTGACACGGAAATTCTCGATAGTAGGTTGTTTCGACCACGTCACTGCACGTGATCTGTTGGATGTTCGCGCATGCCCGGAATGTGTCTTATTTTTTTCCCGTGCGCTTCTCAGACTGTCATTTAACAGTTGGCATTGCGGCGCTTCGCTTTATTCTCTTCTGCTCTCCCTCCTTTTCATCAATTGTGTTTTGCGCCATAGTCAAGTGTACTTCAGCAGTTATAATAGTCTTTTCTGTATTTTGTACTTTCTTCTCAACCGACTCCAGGCTCCCCTTTGTAATACGCTGAACTAACCGACCAAACGACTGACCATTTTGAAACAACTCCTCAGTCAACGCGTCTTAGGTCGTGCTGGTGTATACCCTGCAGAGAACATACTTTTTGCGCAAAAGTTCGCGCAAGGCGTTCGTGTTTCGTCCGTAGCCTACGGAATTTCGCGCAAGAAGTAGGTTATCACGGAGGGCGAACTAGGTGGAATCCACGCTTAGGTAATACCTACCCGGAAGTCAACTGTTTTTGCGAAGAGCGTACCTGTGTAGCGGCTTGCGAAAACACGGCGTCGAAGGCGAACATCTTCGGTGCGGCGACGCCTGTCAGTCGCGCGGGTGCGGACGAAGGCGAGCTCGGAGTGGTCGCCTCATCACCCGAGGACGCCCTATCTGCACTGCCGCCGCAGCCTACCGCTCGCCGTGGGGTCATACAGCGTCACCTGCAGGTTTTGATTAGCTTTGTTTACGCAGTGTTTCACAGCATCAGTGAATACTGCAGCCCTTACTTCGCAGTGATTGAATTACAGTAACGAAAGTACGGCAATTTAACCCTTTACTGCCGAATGTAGCGATATTGCGGCATACCGAAAAACTTCGAGCAAGCAGTTCATGGAATGCGTTCCCCCTTTAAAAGCTGACTGTCAAGTACTCACGGGGAATGCAGCTTTCAGCATGAAAAATCTAGCATCGTCCCGTATAGTGTTCTGTGCTAGAAGCAATTGTTCATTAGCTGATGACGGATAGTGCAAAGCGCGGGAAATGGTTATAACTTCGTTCTTTGTCGTCTCAGTGACGCAAGTTCCATCTTCAATAATGTTGTCGGTTGTGTACGCATCCAAAATTGGCATATTACATGTTACGTGGTTCTGCAGTACGTTTCCTGTTGCAAGGTACTCGCTTATCTGACATATAGAGAATTCGCGACATACATAAAGTATGCATTCAAGTTGCAATTTAGGTAAATTAACTGCGTAATCATTTAAAGATTGCTGTTTAAATTTGGGAACTAAAAATATTTTTATTTTCTTCGGCATATTAATAATTAGGGCAATAAAGGGTTGATCATACATAGCAATAATTCTTAATTTAATCTCAATATCGCGCAAAACTGCGATTCAGCCTAGTTGAAACATGTTCATATTGAAGTACTCGCGCAGGTGCACGGGGTCAAAGTTAAGAATCACAAACAGGCGCAATCGAACACTGGTTCGATTTTTTGTGAACGTTCACTTGAAAACCATCCTACCTGCACAATCTGTTTGAAATAAAAAGGAAACATGAACAGCGCACATGGTACAACTCGTGGCCACATGCACAACGAACAGAGGACACGAGTGAAGTTTGTTTTTCAAGCAAGGCAGGCGATATGTGGCTAACATACTTCTTACAGATTGTCAATGAAATACGCTTCCATTATCTCTCTAGAAGTTCGGTTGCGATGCCTTTATTCTACGGTGGTGTTATCAAAAAAAGGCGTGAATGCATACTCATTGCGAACCAGTGCTAAACGTGTGGTATTTAATGCGTAGTGAGCGTTTAAAAAAAAACAGTTGTTAGATTGCGCCCATTTGTGTTTCTCAACTTTGTCCCCGTGTGCCTGCGCAAATACTTCAAAAAGAGGTATCATATCCCAAAGCACGATATGATTATAAGAGACGCCATAATGGAGGCCTCCGAAAACTTCGACCACCGGGTTTCATTAATCTGCACCTATATCTATCCTATTTCCGACCCTTATTTTCCCACCTCTGTACAGTGTCGCAAACCAGTTCTTCTAGCTTAACCTCCCCGTCTCTTCCTTTTATTTATTTTGCTTTGAATCTAAGTAAAGGAGTCTCAAGGATTTTAACTTCCCTCGAAAGTGCGGCTGCCCTAGCCGGAACAAGATCCGACGGCCTTCGGGACACCAGTTCAGTCCCATTGCTCCTAGCCCATCGTGCCGGGTTTACAGAGGAGATGACGCTGAAGACAGCGTCCCAGAGAAATGTTGGCGCCAGTAGATTTCCCGTCTAATCATTTTTTATCGCAATCTAGAGTGAGGTCATAAGTAACAGATGCCGTGACGTTATACACAATGCTGAAGTCGTGTGGAATATGGAAGCTTGAAGCAACGAATCATTGTAGGAAACGGAATGCAACGATAACGTACATTTGATTGATATTATTTACGCGTGGGGTTTAACGTCCCAAAACCACCAATGATTATGAGAGACGCCACAGTAGAGGGCTCCGGAAATTTCGACCACCTGGGGTTCTTTAACGTGCGCCCAAATCTGAGCACACGGGCCTGCAGCATTTCCGCCTCCATCGGAAATGCAGCCGCCGCCGCCGGGATTCTATCCCGCGACCTGCGGGTCAGCAGCCGAGTACCTTAGCCACTAGACCACCACGGCGGGGCTTCCACGCAGCCTTCTTCTCGCTATCATTTAGCTCGGCATGACATAGATGTTGCGTGACATGGGAATGAAAATAATAAGTTTAACCCTAAGAAATATTAACAAGACGGAATGTATCAGGGAACAAACTGGTGTTAAGGACACCATAATCAAAATCAAGAAGGAGAAATTGTCATAGGAAGGGCACGTAGCGCGAAGGCAAGATAACCACTGGTCGTTAAAAGTCACACCCTCGATTCCAACAGAATGCGGGTGGGTGAATGAGAGACAGAAAGTTTGGTGAGCAGATGAGATTAGGAAGCTTGCAGAGATAATGTGGTCGCAACAAGTACAGGATCGAGTTGGCTCGCGGATCATGGGAGATGCCTTTGTCCTGCAATGAGCGTAGTCGGGCTGATGATGATGTTCGTAATGATGACGCCATGGCTGCACGTCTGATAAGCCACAGCACCATCTCAGCGTCGCCTGAGGCATACGTCACCGGAAGTGGCTACAAAACCAGGCTGCAAGCTCGCAAGATCATCACTGCTCCGCAACCTCAGACGAGCATAGTGTTGGCATGATCGCCCCATGCTGCTGTAGTTGAATAAACAGTCGTTACGGTTTCATGATGGGATCCGTTTTCCCGTCGACACGGTATCCCACTAATGAATGAACAGTGGTAGAAAGAATGCTCACCTGTTTCTTGCGCGAGTCCAGTTGAAGGAAGCTTGAGGCACCACCGACCGAGGTACCGGGTTCGTGTGCTGGCGAGTGCGATGGCGTTGAGCACGATGACGAAGACTCGCCTCCGCTTGCAGCAGCAGGACACACTCGCAGCATCACTTTCACCTGCACGAAAAGAAAGCTCCAGCAATTGTTCAGGTATCAAGTACCAAGTACTAACTCGTTCAACAAGCCATCCTTATCCGTCTTTGAACACCAGTCTCAGTACGTGTTTGAACGAAAGAATACACTTAGCAGATGTCTCGAGCTGAAGAATCAGTGCTCGTTACGTCGAAAAGGAGACATCTATCGCTAAAGACGTCAATAAGACAAGCAACGATCGTAGAGGAAACAAAAATTAGATGATCAATCAGTTGAATGCCAACTTGTCTTTGTTGTTGCTCTATATTCGGAAGGACAAAGCAGGCTTTTACTGCCAGCCTTTTCCGTTCATTACAACACTCCCACGGTCGTCTCCGCTGGTTTAACACGCGTAGCAGCGAATAGGGAACATTTTAGGGGTGTATTATGGGATTGACCTCTTTTGTCTCGGCGCCCTAAAACAAAGGAAGGTCGAGGCACACACATAACACGAAACGACCTACCGCATTACTAAGCGCTTGAAGATCGAGTAATAGGGTTCTGAGCAAGCCCACTTTGCTCCGAACGACGGTACCTCAGGTTTTTGTTGTGTGGGGTGTAATATAACGGGTCCCCACACGACGCACATTCGTGACGATGTCCCCGTATAACTCTTCCCGGCGAAACGAGGGGGCACCTCTTTCGTCTCAAAATAAAATCACGTGATTGTGGTGCAAAAGGACGGAAAAGCAAAAGGACAGGACGAGGAGACGTCGGTGGAAGAGTACGCGAGGCAAGTTGCGTGGGCACAACAGCTGAGGACTTTTGTTGGAATCGGACAGAATGACAGTCATCCGAACTACGCAGGACAGATACCTGCTATGGCGACTCTGGGAAATTTTAAGTTGAGGTCTTTTGTTGAGGCGACAGTTTGACTGTAGTTTTCCTTTTTCCACTTTTGCGCTAAGTGCGAAACGTTCGAGGCGAGAACCTGTGCGAGCATCATCAAACAAACAAACAAACAAACAAACAAACAAACAAACAAACAAACAAACAAACAAACAAACAAACAAACAAACAAACGAATGAACAAACAAACAAACAAACGAATGAACAAACAAACAAACAAACAAGCAAACAAACAAGCAAACAAACAAACAAACCATACGAAAACTAGATGGTGCTTTGGGAGCGGAATCGAGGAAGTCGAGTACATGGCCCGAAGGAAATAGACCGAGTGGAAGCTAGTGCCACGGCGTGGCACAGACAAGACGAGCGTAAAGGAAGAACTGAACAGGAAGTAAAAAGAATAGTGGAAGACGTTGATGAAGGCACAGAAAAGACGGGCGTTTCCCCCCAAAGTAAGCGCAACCATAGCGTGGAGTGCGGCCCCGCAAGCGTGCTCTGCCGCTTCTCGTATTGTCTTGTGAAGAAGCCCTCTTTCAAGGAGCATCGCTGGTTTCTTTCGGCCGCGTTCACGAAGTGCCGCTGAGCTATTACGGTTGATGACGATGCGACGCGCACCGACGGAAAGCGGGAAAGCATGTAGTGTAATGCAAGCGAACTGCGCGCCCCGTGGCGGACCGTAAGCGAAAAGAAATAAACCGACTACACTGCAAGAAGTCCCAGACAGTTGAGTTGAAGAAGAATGCGATCACTTGTGCTCAGGGCCGTTTGTATCCGTCCCCGTCTTTCCTAGCCTCTTCGTCTTCCTTGCGAGAGACCAAGTGCCTGCTATTATTCGCATTCTTGTTATATCTCTCCTAGGTGCCGCTGTTGAACCTACTTTTGTACTGAAAGCAGCAAGAAAGATTCTATTGTTTGGTTTATATCGCTGTGCTATATGAGAAGGGAAAGGGGGGGGGCGTAGTTGGACTTGATACTGCACAAAAAAAAAACAGCGATGTGATCATATTGTTGAGTTTAGTACCGGCTGGCAGCGTTAGTAAATTGGGGATGCACAAAATAGCTAGGCCTCCTTCTCTCAGATGTGCAATACACATGTCTCGGCTTTCTGGCAGAACACTGTTTTCAGTGTTGTTGTTTATAGAAGCTCAACTCAGATCGGGATGGGGAATTGGTCATGCCCAGAGGATCCCAAGGCTGTTAGACGCTGGATGAGTTCAATCGGAATGAGCAAGACGGTAACTAAGAATGAATGAACAGGAAGTCATTGGTTAGACACAGAAAGAAAGCGAGGGTAGGCTAGAAGATAGCGTCGCATCGAGTCGCGTGATTATAATCGAGCCCGCGCTTGCGGGAAACGATGTGGGATGAGGGAAGACAAAGGACGATGCTTCAATGGGAAGACGCAGTCATGAAGGGCGTCTCATGGGACGGCAGAATAAGGCACTGATCTAGGAGGCAATTGAGTAGCCGGGTGTGGGGTGGACCGAAGTGTGTACGTTTGCTTTGGTAAAAGGAGTGTGGTGCATTCACCACACTTCCGGGCAACGCGGAGAGAGTGTGGTGGATCGAGAGACACCTTATTGCGAGTCCTTATCAAAGACGAGCAACACAAACTGATACTTTTTTCCGAAGACCGACTGGAGAAAACTTTCTCCACTGCACAGTGCCGTTTCGGGAATCCAGGGTCCAGTTCCTACGCAAAATATTTGTCGTCGACAGACAGACAGACAGACAGACAGACAGACAGACAGACAGACAGACAGACAGACAGACAGACAGACAGACGGACGGACGGACGGACGGACAGACAGACAGACAGACAGACAGACGGGCGGGCGGGCGGGCGGGCGGGTGGACGGACGGACGGACGGACGGACGGACGGACGGACGGACAGACAGACAGACAGACAGAGACAGACAGACAGACAGACAGACAGACAGACAGATGGATAGATAGATAGATAGATAGATAGAGAGATAGATAGATATATAGTGGATAGATGGAGAGATAGATAAGAACAACCATAGGTGGACAGATAGATCAGAACATTGGTGCAGACAAGAACACAAGCACACACATACAGAGAGAGAGAGAAAAAGATAGAGAGAAGACCAGTGGCTCGCCCACGCGGCCACTCTCAGATCCGCATTGGCTATTGGGCCTGACAAGAGGCAGTGGTACTAGTCGACCCCTGGCCTCCGCCACACAACCACCCTCTCCAACCACTTCCACGCGAACTAGGACCCTAAGGACGACCGTTCAATAACTCGTGGCGAGCACCTTCTGCAACTCGGCGTTAGGGCTCTCTTGGGAGCGGGGTGGTGGCCGGGGCGAGACTCGGGCCGTAGACCTTTGGGGCTAGTCGAGGGTCACCTTATTTCTTCGTCGTCCTATTTCCTTGTTCTTCCCCACGTTGTCCATCTAGATATAGTGGACTGCCCATCCGGCCTGCAGTACTGCTGCCGATTTCAGGTGCCGCTGGAGAAAACCGATGTTGCGTACATGCCGTTAGGATCTTAAACACTTAGGACAAGAGACGAGGCTAGAATAGCGTTTGGTTGTGCTTTGTATTTTTAGCAAACGCAGACACCTAGGCAGGAGTCCGAAACGCTGATGAACTAATTCGGCGCACGGAAAAGGAGAGTTTAAGAGAAAAAAAAAAAGAGTATCACGTAAAGTGATTGCTTGTGCATGGCGGGACAACATTGTCAAGAAGAAAAATCCTGGGCATGTACAAAGACAATCAGAATATCATTTGCAGCCTACTTTCATGTCTAATGCCAGAAAAACACCTTTGGATGTTATGTCTCATTTCTTCATTTTGCTTAGTATGAAAAACTGAGCTAGTTACGATGTGTTCATGACTCTGAAGCGCTCGCAAAGCGGGCAAGGATGGAAGAAGGGTACGGCAAAATCGGACGGAAGAAGTATTTTTTCCGAATTTCAGTGCATGTCACGTGCTCTTCTTCCGTGCTTTTCCGTTTTGAGGGTGACTGCACACTCCTAAACATGTCGCCCTCTCTTTCACGAGTTCGTACCATTCTGTCCCTACGAAATTCTCTATTTCGACGCTGCGTCCAACACGTCGCTGTTCTCGGCTTCTTTTCTTGTCTCTTGGTATCCTATCCGTTGCTCCGACTGCTCTTACTGACCATGAACGGCATTGGTTGGTTTCTCTCGTTTAATATCAAAATGAATAATATAAATGCCTCTTTGGCGTCTCATACACTCTGCTCTCTTTCGACCTCCTAATGGTGCTCCTACCATTGTACGTTCAATTGCACGCAGCGCGGCCTTCAACATTTCTAGAGTTTGTTACCTTCCAAAAGTTTCTGCCTCCTATGTTAGAATTGGCCGCGTGCAATGACTGCATACTTTTTGCTTTGGCGACAGCGGTGAACTGCATGTCATTGTTTGTGAATGCCTGCCGTACATGCTTTAGCCCACCCTTATGGTTCAGTGAATATTCACTGCAGACAACGCGCGAGATAATAGAGGCTTTGCACACTTCTCACAGCAACTCGTGTATCAGAATTCCATCCATCGCTCTCCAACAAAAGGAAATACCGTATTTGAGTAGGCAAGCATAACAAACCTTATGCGTTTTGTGTATCCTATTTTCTTTTTTTTGTGTGTGACTCCGTGCCAGCGTATATGTTTGAGTCGACGTGAATGAAGATAAGATGCGAGTGCGGTAGCCATCCTTGTGTTTTCTTCATTTGCGTCTCGTGTTCTTGCACCGTTCTTAACCGTGAGAAGGCTCTGCTGCTTTACCTGGCCAAAGCTTGATCAATATATATCATACAATACTATTATTATAAAATACTTTTAAGCAATAGAAGAGTGTCGCTTGTCTGAAACCTTCGTTGTGTAACCCGTCATGGTTACGGACAAAAAGAGACACAGGTGTTTGTACGACAGTATTAGCTAAGAGACTAGTGATACTTGTTGACCAGTGTTTCTACATGTTTGTTCATCGTGTATGTCAACTCTTGTAGCAATAAAGATCTGCGCTATTATGCCTTCGCCTCGTGGCAATAAATGTTTTGCGCACTTCATCTGTATTCTTTAGAGAAGCTCATGTGGAGAATAAAACAAGTTTTTCTTTTCAATTTCGAAGGGCACGCTGATAGGC